TTATAATCTGTTCTGTTGTTTTTTTTTCTTATTTGTTCCTTCTTCTTCTTCTTCTGGCGTTTATTGGCAGTTGTCGCGAGCTCGGCTTCTGCTTTTCCAACAGAATTGGATTCGTTTAATTATCTGTTCACTGTAAGTTGTTGGATCCCCTCTGCTAAGCTGACATTCTTAATTACTTTGATGTTTGTTTTTAGTTTATGCTTTTATAGATTTTTTTTTGTAGTTTCTTCTTGATGAATTTGGATCATTTAAATTCAAATGGTGTCTGAGGTTTTGTCAGTGTTTGGGATTTTTGTGAACATATGAACATGGGAGAAAAGATTTTGCACAAAAATGATGATCCCTGCAGTCCTCGTCGGTCAGTTCTTGTTCAGAACTGCTTAAAATAAACCTCAGCAACTTGCATGGTTTCTGCAGCAAGTAATTCTAAACACAGCAAATGTTGGAAATTCTCCCAACTAATCCAACCCGTCTTAACTTTGGTCTACTTTTGATAGTACGGGTTGTTCCGGTAATAATATACTCTTAATACTACATTACATTAAACTGTAGTCAAACTTGCACCTTAAGGATGAGCTTCATCACACCCCATTTAAATGAATTTACCAGTCAGTCATCTTTATCAAGGTTGTAAAAGTTAGAACTAATAACGCAGAGCTCAAAATTAAATAAAACCTAACTATTTCAAACAAAACAAAAATCTGACATAGCAGTAAAAATTCATATTAACTGAGGTTCAAGGAGAACTGGATGTGGAATAAAACACAACAATGCTCAACATGTGGGTACGGTGAAACTAGGGTACTAGAAGGACTGGGGCTGATGAGAAGAAAGGCTGCAGCTGTGACTGGTGAACAGAAATGCATTCAGGCCTAAAAAATCCTGGCTCAGCCCGGTCTGAACCCGTATCATGTTTTTTTTTTTTATATACCGACCCGAAAGCGACCAATAAACCGCACAGCTGATGATCCAAACTGGGTCAGCGGCCGCGTCCATCCGCTGATGCAGCGGCCGCGTCCATCCGCTGATGCAGCGGCTGGGTCCAGTTAAGCTTCAGGTGGGTCGCTGGCAGTCATCCATCTGGACTTATATACGCTGTAAATAATTTTTAATTTACCCTTCATTTATACAGGTAGTCTCATTGAGTCACGAGAACTCATTTTCAAGAGAGGCCTGTTTGGGAGCAGATGATGGGGTCAAGGGCGCAGAGTGGGGCAAATGAAGGTAGAGGCAGGAGTGGGTGTTTTACCTTTCCCACCCACATTTTGATGTTTTCAGTCCAGGGGTTTGAACCCGCAACTTTCTAATCGCAGGTCCATCTTCTCTAACCTCTGCGCCACCACTCCCCTAGTTTGCTTCCATCTCACCAGCCTTCAGAAGGAGACAGTTCCTGGACAGAAGCTCTCCAGCTGCCTCACATCAACCTTCTAACAGGCACTTTATCGTACACCACCTGCACCCTTACAGTCTTTCTCAATTTTAAAATCACAACCATGACAGAGTTGTAGTTTGCCTCACGAGGTCCAATGTCCAAGTTCACCTCCAAGTTAGAAGAACTGCAGACATCGTGTCTATCAAAGTTTACAGGGCGGTAATTCAGATTTTCATTCAGAAAACCGTTACTGTCTGTTCTGAAGTAAAACCTCATCATACCTGACTTGATGTCAGCAGGTGTGCATCTGGTCCAGTTCCTGTCACGGGGTCAGCTGACAGCCTGGTTGATCCTGTTCTGGAGTCTGCAGAAGTCCTCTCGCAAGCCCTCTGGAGACCTGCTGCCATCCCACCAGTCCAAGTTCTGGGTTTTGCAGCGGTGTCATCAGATTTTGTTCAAGGATTTGTGGTGGCCTTACTTTTCTAACTTTGTAGGTGTTTGTCAGTTGTAGGTTAACCATCCATACATGGAGTCTCCAAACATCCTGCCAGGATGTGTTACCAAGTTTTATCTAGCTGAGTCCACAAGCTGGCTGAGATCTTCTATGTCTGAGTCCAGGTTTGAGGGCATTCCACTTGTCCAAATCACCAGTTTAGATCATGAGGACAGCAGACATTCCAACTAGCCTTGACATTGGCCCAGTTCAGAGCTTTCAATGGTCTGCTACATCCCCTGGGATATGGAAGAGGAGGACAGGAGAAGAAAATGAGGATGTGCTAAGGCAAGAACCGGAACAGCTGCGTAGTTTTAGGCAAGATAAGTTCAAAAAAGCCAAAACAAAAAAAAAACCTTAAAGCTGCTGCTAGCTTCTTCTAACCCTGAACCTGGCTCACTCTCCTGGCTGCACATGCCTGCCCTCTCATGGACAGAAAGCAGACAGCAACGATGCTCAAAGACAAATTCAGTTTTGTTCCTGAACCACATGAAACATCTAGAAATTGTATTAAATACATTGTTGAACCATTAATTCCCAAACAATTAAATGTGGGCATTTCTGACTGAGAAATCGAAGACAAGCTTGACAGCCTCAGCCATCCACCATCCACAGGCCTCAATGTACGAGGATATGAGCTGAAAAACTGAGACAAGGTGTTGATGAATGTGTGGGAGCTGCGAGAACCTCTGTGTCTGCCGGGTCCTCCTACTCAGCCAGCAGTGTGGAGGCAGAGCGTTTATTCTATTCTGGTCCCGGAAATGTGAGGTCTTTTCTTCACTGTTCCCACTAAGACCAGAGTGATTCATCCACACTTGTGAACAGTCTGCAGGCGCAGAGAGAAAGAAAACCATGCACCCTCCAGAGTAGGATATCAGCGTCGTTAATAACCGACGTCCTCATAAACACAAGTATCTGTCACGTTTGATCCTTTTATTGCTTTAATCGGTTTCTTTATCTTTTGGCCATGTTGTTTCTGCACCACCAAAAATCTGCTTGGCCTAAGGATTTCCTTAAAGTATATCAAGCAAGGATATAAAATATAAATATCTTTTCTCAAATAAAGAGTAAAAAATAAAATAAAACGTGCATGGAATGGCATCTGCAGCAACCATAAAACAAGTTTCTGGTGAAACGTTCAAAATGATGCAACTCCCTCTAACATTTAATTTTCACCATATAAAAATAAAATATGGAATTGACTTTTTAAAAAATAAACATCCACAGAGAATAAAATGTCTCTTCCAGACTCAATGAGATGCAGGGCATGGATGCTATTCGTAGTACGTTTTTTTTAAAGAAAGAGCTGTTTTATAAACACGATAAACACTTTAAAACTAGCTCTTGTTTAGCCATTAGTCCAGGCTAGACAAAGACTTTTGCCTTTATCTCCATACTCTGTGCTCCATGGTTGATATCACAGTTGATAAAGTACTATTTGACAGAACATGACTAAAAATGACCCCTTTAAGAATGCCCATCACTTAAGTTATACAGTTTTGCTCAAACCCTGCCAGAAACACCTGAATTCAACATTTAGTCTAACAGGCACAGCTAAATCCGTTTGTCTAAAAAAAAATTTTTTTAGAAGGACAGAAATCTGAGAGGTGTTTTGTGTGGACTTACAGCAAGAATGGTGCTAGAAATCAACAAATCTTGACTTTTGTCCGCATGTGAGATTGATCAAACGTGGCAGAATAATATCAGATTCAGATGGCTGATAATCAAGAATCAAGAGTGATGTAAACATCAGGACCATTCTGGCCCACGTTGTTACTGCACATACTGGAACAAAGCCATCCTCAAATGGTGCCATCTTAAATCACATGGTGCTATAGATAATCTCTGGAATATAAAGTAATTTAAAACTTTAGTGGAATTAATTGCAGTGCCAAACATGTTTCAAGCGAGCTCGCTCGCTGTGGCAACCCCTGCAGAAAGGAGCAGCTGGAAGAGACTTGCAGTGCTGTTTCCTGAAGTCAGACAAAATATTAACTCGAGTTTGGGGGAAATTGCAGCAAATATGCAAAAGCTGTCTTAGTTTTTATTAATACTATAGTTTTATTGGTGTTTGACTGCAAATTTGACCATACTTTTATTTTTATTAAACTCAGTTTTATTTCGTTTATCATATTTTATCATATTTTATCTATGACGCTGTATTCTTGTGAAGCACTTCGGTTAGCTGTGGTTGTTTTTAAATGTGCTATAAACTTTGATTGATTGATTGATTAAATATACACAAATACTCCTTCAGTTTATCATTTACAAATTTCTCAAACACACTGACTAGAACCAGGAGTAGTAGGTTGGTATTTCTCCTATTGTCCTCCACTTGTCCACTTACACTGAGTGAAAAAGCAGTTAAAGTCCAAATAATTAAATAAAACCTTAAAAGGTCTAGAAAGCCTGACGATCTACTAATCACAATTATTTAAAGGTTTACAAAACAATCTGGTTCCTTGAAAGGAAATCATAAAAAAAGAGGGGTGGTTTTATGTTTTTTTATTGAACTGCATTTTATAGAAGCTGATAACAGAAATAAAAGCAAAACAAATACATAACCTGCCTTATCTTTAGATTCTGTTGGAAAAAAAACACTTATCTATTTAACTATAACTTTGCCTGATATTTAACACAAAAACAAATTTGTATCTGTTCATGCAGTATATATGCATATTGCACAGTGAGGACGTGAGAACAAACTGGAAACCTGAAGATGAAGCGTCACTGTTGTGATTTATTTATTCTTCCTCTGCCTGTGTGGCTCAAACAACAGCAAGCAGGAGAGGCCAAAAATGCTGAAAGTAGCGCATCGTGACATCTTCAGGCTCTGCTGGTGACTCTACAGCAAACCAGAAAAATGATGGTTGATTTACCTTAAGAGAACTGGAGGTCAAACTGGAAACCAGTGAGAGAGAGTTACAGGATCATTGTTTAATTTATCTTATTATCATACACTGAGCCAAACAGTATAATGACACATAATGTTATGTCATTTGGAGCATCTATCAGTGCTGATGGGTATATTGGACCATTCATTGTTGAAATCACACTGAGCTACAAGAAGGTTTATGTGGACACAGATTTGTTCAGCCCTGCAACATGCACATTTTAACACAGCAACGTGAAGTCATGGTGAGTCAGACGGTAGAGAGTAGGTATCTTTACCTGAGGGTACTGGAACATAGGGGCGTTGTCATGCATTAAAAGAAAAATGCACATCAATATGTGATGATGGTGAGAAAGATGCACTTGCATACACATTATAATTTATTTTAAACTAAACACAAAATGATGCTCAGGTAGGGAAGAACAAATGAAATCAGAAATTTGCCAAAACTTGATTTGACATGTGAACATGTACGCGTGCACTGTATTATAACCCTCATTAAAGTGAACTAACACTTTATTATAAAGTTAGTCAATCAAAAAAGGTTTAAAATTTAAACAGTCGTTCACGGTTTCATCATATAACGTCAAATTGTGTCTTTTTGGAAAACGGGTCTGCAAAGAATCCCTGTTCACCTCACAGACGATAAACCAGCATTTTCTTATGTTGAATTTAAAAAAAGCCTTAAAACTATATTTTATGCAGTAAATAATTCAAATCATTCTTTAAAAATGTCCTTTAAGAACAAACTGAGGAATACAAAGCATGAAACAAAACCAAGATAAAAGTAACAAAACATTATGACGCTGTCCAACAAAGTGAAGTCAGGTCCTCTGGACGGTTTCTTTGTGTTGAAATCTTTCATCTTTCATCCAGAAGACTTAGGCATGAACGTGTTTCTAAGTACAGGAGACAATTAATGCCAAAACAACAAAAAGAGGAAACTATGAGTACCAGAAACTAAATGAACCAAACAAAAACTCCTGATGTGAGTGGGTGTGGCAGGACTGAGAAGAACTGAACTGATCCGTCACAAAAAACAGAACCATCATAATCGTAATGAAAATATTCTGATCAGAGCCGGCCCAAGCCTCCATGGGGCCCTAAGTGAAATTTGCTTTGGGGCCCTCTACTTCTGCTAGTAATGTGGATTACTGCAATCAACAGTCAGATGATCAGATCATTCACCCACCAAACATAAACTCTTTGCAACTCTGACAGCCCTTTTTACATGATCCTGTATGACATCATCTAGTGCAGAGGTGTCAAACTCGTTTTCATTTTGGGCCACATCAAGCTAACGAATGTCCTCAAAAGACCAGCCATAATAAAATGTATTGATAAAACTACCTATTAACAAACTGGTAAAATATAACTT